AGAAAACAGCCCTCCTGTAGAGAAGAGTATTCCCGCTCTCCAAGTTATTGACGTCTAAAGCCGATGGTTGCAACGAGCTTATAGAAGATGGTCCGACTTATTCGTAGATGGTCTTGTTTTGTTTTGGCCAGGCTCTTTGTTACCGGCAGCGATTATCGTCGAGGAAAGAGGCATTTGAACGCCTTATCTGGATGCGAAGTCTTGCGGGTTGGGACTTTGAGCTTCAGCAGTGCTAAACGCAGCCTTGGTGGATTGTAATGGAACATACTTCATCGGAGCTGCGACGGAAGCAAACGCTGTCTCTGATGATGAGACAGCTCTATTCCGAGAGAAATATGTATCACGACAGGGCCTCATTTTGGCTCATCGATCCCCTCTATTCCGGTACTCGCACCCGAATATCGGCCAGACAGGTAGGTCCCTGGAGAAAGCGTGCGTTCAATCGGTCTTGACTTGACTTCAAGGTCTGGAAGTCAGACTACCAGAGGGCACGATGCTAGGCAGGCCAGTTGCCAACCAAGGATCGCACCCATAAAGTTCTTCAATACCCTGACAAGTGGTTCGCTAAGAGTCAATGCAGTCACCCATAATCGCCATATCACCCTTACTAGCCCGATTCTCGAAACACATCTCCACGAAGACGTTGGAATGGCATGAAATCAGGAAAGCCAAGTATCCTATGAACCCAAATACGAAGGCTTGAATCCAGCCTTTGTTCTAGATGGTAATCGAACTTTCAGCGCAGGGTCATCAGTCTGCCCCCCCCCCCCCCCCATCATCTACAAGAGCTGGAAGACACCTTGACTGCTGCAAACCTCGTAACATATCTCTCAGGTATTTCTACAGAATATTCCGCGAAGCTGAGGACACCTGAAGTATCAAGAAAAGAAAAAAGGAGTGACAGGATCCGGAAAACAGACTCTACCTCGGAGACAAGGTCAGAAGACCACAATAGCTACCAAAGCACTCGCCCAAGCGGCTCTCAAGTGAGAGACCGAACACAACGCCAGAATTCAGATGTACGCGAATTACGCCTTGCCTTTACCCAGGTAAGGAGCGCAACACTATCCACTCTACTCTGAAATATCTCTTCTCCTCGAGAATGGCTCATCAATTTCCTTGCATGTAAACACAATCGTTTCCTCTCGAGTTGCGGCTGAAAGGCAATCCATGCAGAAGCCCCCTCCCACGGCGATCCATGTCTGTAAATGATTTCACTGAGTTCTGTATCATCTGAGTCTGCCCTTTTACTTTTGAGCGGCCACTTCTCTACAATCAGTTGGCTTGACGGGAACGCTGGCCATAGTCTTCAATAAAAACATTACCCAAGACGGCATATACGACAGTTAAGTATGGGGCTTCAGTCATTAGAGGCCACTCTCTTTCAGATCGAGCAGACTAGGTTTGTCCACCAATAACAATGAACGTGCCACAGATACATCACATTGCAAGGCACAGCGAAGGAAGCATGGCCAATGAGGTATGCGTTTCATCATGTATTAGAAGCCATCCACCAGCTTGTCTTATGGACAAGTATTCATCTACCATAACCAAACACACAATGCAACTCATGCGGGATTTTTTTCGTGCCCCATGAAACCAGAAATGACTAAAGCCACTCGACATGTAGTTCCGCCAACGCCAAATTGAAGCCTGCAATATGAAAGGTAAACAAGTCTTGAGAAGAGAAGAAAGAAGAAGATGCCTTCGCGCCCAATGTCACTCGCTTTTTATCCCTCCCATCCCAGTGATGCCCGAGAGAGACCTCTGTGTTGAGGTCGCGCCAAGAAACCAAACAGACGGGAAAGCGACAAGATCTACTGTGGCCTTCTACCACCTCAGGCGGTGCAAGAGATAAATGCGGAGACTGAAACCAGTTGACCGCCAAAACCAAAACGCCTTGTACGCTATGCTCTACCATGCTGGAAAATAATGACGAATAACACAATGGTTGGAGGCGAAGCCAACGGCCATGCTCGTGGCAATGCCATGTGCAATGCTGCAGAAGGAGAATTCAAGAAAGCAGCCCAACAGTAGAATCGAACCTCAAGAGGGGGGTGGGGGTATCATGAAGGGTATCATGTAGAAAGGGCAAGTTTTTTTTTTCCTTTAGCCAAGGGTGCGGCCACTGTGAATGGCCGCGGGGTGGTGATGGGAGTTAGTCCGAGGGGTAGTAGGACTGGGCCGAACTGTCGAGGCTGGGCTGAAGTCTGGCACCAAGTATGTTGGCGGGCGAGAGGGATCCCAGCCCTCCTCACTGAGCACACTGAGGTAGCCATTCCCAACCTTGTCCCGCAATGCCTCGATCTTACGGCGGTACATTTCCCCGCTGACATCCCAGTCCTGGGAGTCTGGCGGAGCATCGCGGGTTGTGTAGATGGGGGGAAGTTCGGGAACCACGCTAGTGTCTATGCGGGGAACTTCAGGTTGGGAGTCGGCCTTTCGATTGTCGGCCAGAATGGCAGAGGGAAATGGAGGAATCTCAGGGGCCTGTGAAATACGGTAGTTGTTGGTGTCTGGACCGACTGCGGTGGCTGTGGCATCGGAGGCGAGCACCTTGATGTTCGCAGGGGGTGACGGCACGATACCAGGAGTCACCGTCACAGAGGCATCCGTGGTAGAAAGGTCTACTATCCGTCTCTTTGGTGTTTTGCGGCGGCGAGTAGAGCTAGTGTTCACCTCGCTGGTGACAGCTTTGGGGACTGGGCGCTCCTTGCGGAGAACTGAGGGCTCCTTGGGGATGTCGTAGATGATGGCTGGCTTGCTGACGTCAACAGCCGGGATGTCGGCGGGAGCGGGCTTTACGACCGGCACGGCGGCGGGCACCGGAGTACGCTCCACCAAGTACCTCCTCTCCGAATACGTGGGACCGCAGTTGTCAATGACAACGTCCTCGGTGTAGCCCGGGGTCTTGCGGAAGAGGTTGAAAATTGTGATGCGGTAATCCTTGTGGGTGCGGGTGAAGGGGTTGCCCTCAACCCAGATCTCCCGGATGTCAGGGATTCCAGTGAGTCTGGCCAGCTCCATAGGGTCTGATAGACGGTTGTCGCGAAGGTCCAATCGCTCGAGAGGATAGAGCTTCTCAATGCCGGCGATTGATTGCAGGCGGTTGGCGCGGAGGTTAAGAGCCGAGATGGCCGGGAGGGGATTGCGCGTCAAGGAGTGGAGCCCATCGATCATGCAGTGTGAGAGGTTAAGTGCGCGAAGTGCGGTAAGGGTAGCCAGACTGTCGGGGATCTGAGTGAACAGATTGGATGACAAGTCCAGGGAGTGAAGGGTGTTTGCGAGGGGAACCAAGCTGGTGGCAGGGATGGAGGTCATGGAGTTGTCGGCCAGACTGAGGTGCTTCAAGAACCGCCACTTTGATGCTGGAAGAACACCCATGCTCAGAAGATTCGAGGAGCTGTTGGCGCGGCTGTGGTGCCACGAGTCCGAAAGACTCGAGTGCGAGCTGCCAGAGCCGGAGCGACGAACCTTGTGGCCTCCTCTCATGTGGGAGGGGTTGCGGGAGCTGACTGGGCGAGTAGGCGAATTGCTACGTGGTCTTGATCCCTTTGGAGGCGACATGGCCTCGAACGTTTCCGCCCGAGCCAGAGATGGCCGTCTGCCTTCACCGTGAACATCATCCACAGCATGGTCTTGCGTGCTTAGAGAACCAATGCCCAGGTCACCAATCGAATTGCGCGGGTCTGGTGAGCCCGGCATTGAGGGTGACTTGTGAAGTTCAGCGTGAGGAATGGTGGGACTTCTGCGAGGGCTGGAACTTGCGGGCCAAGGGGTAGTGGGCGATGGTTGTTGCTTCGACGTCCTTCTCCGTCGCTTGTCCATATCATCAAGCACAATGTCAATTAGGATATCCGCAGGGTCCTCAACACCAGCGCGCTTCAGCGTCAGCGATCTCAGCTGCTCGGCCATGCGGTCCCACCCGAAGAATTGTCGGAAGTCGATGCTGTTCACCTCGAGGGCCTGGACATTCTTGAAGACGTATAGCGGTACTGCTGAGTCGAATGGGAACTCTTCGTAGCCGCGGATCAGCCGGGCGCGCCAGTCGGGGGCAAGGCGAAGGCAAGGAATTTTGGTGAAGGCCGAGTAAAGGTATTTCAAGTCAGCCTGCGTGGCCGCCTTCTGCCGCTCGGTTCGGGCGGCCGAAATGCTCGCGCCGATGCCAAAACTCGTCCAAAGTGCCGACATGCCTGACATGACGCTTCGAACGCTGGATACGGAATGGATAGAACCAACATCGGAGCCGCGGCTTCGGGATCTTTGGGTGTTGCTCAAAAAGGAGACATAGTTGGCGGATGTTGAGCTATCGTGTAGGTTCTCGAGACGAATCTTCATGGGGCCAACGGGAATGGCGAGTTCTTCGAATCGAGATAGTAGGTAAAACAGATGGTGCGGCGTCAAGGCTAGCTTCGCCGACTTGACAGTGTGCGAGGTGAAGTTGAGAGAACCGAGAGAAAGAGCGGATGCGAGTCCGTTCGAAGTCGAGGCCGAAGTCGAGGGCCTCTCGGGAACGACCGGTGATTGAGGCGTGGGAATGGAGCTGACGCTCTGAGAGGAGCCATGGCGAGAGGCAGCCTGTCTTCGGAATTGCAAGGCGTTGGCGAGAGCCTTTTCGTGCGTGCGCACAAAGCTGGCCAGTTGCTGTAGACGACGATGTTAGCACAAGCAGCACATCAGACCAGGCAGCAAAGCCCATTGGCAAAGGCATGAGAATATGGCTCTTCCGTAGTAGCGTACCTTTATGAACAACTCCCCGTCTTCCGAATCCATGATCAAGGACGCATCAGGGGCAGACGGAGTACAGGGTGTGGGTATCTTGGGGGTCGGAAAGGAGGGAAACGGCGAGTATCGGCGCCTAATATGGTCGTAGAAGGTATCGTTCGTCTATAAAACCAGATATTGCTGGTAAGTCGGACGATGGAGGCCAGTCGTGACCGGTTACACCGCAGGCTGTACGAGGAGGGTTAGTATGTTGTTGATGCGTGGCTGAGTGCTTTTCAAGCAGGTGAGAGTGGGAAAATCGGAGTGAGAAGTCGAGGAGAACAAGAAGCGCCGTTGCGACACTCTGCGCAGGCAGCACAGTCGGAAAAGATGAGGAGGCTCGTGAGAGGGACCACGAGCGATGTATCCCCGTTGCAGATGCTGCAGGAGCGGTCTTGTCTCACAACGCTGGAATTTGAGGGGGGAAGTACAAGACGCCGAGGACAACGAGGGGAATGTAAAGTGGTGTTGCCAACTCTCGAAAACACGGGGCGGCCGACGGTGGTGAGTGACAGATGATACAGGCAAAGGCAAACACAGGCAGACAGTGAATATGACAGCCAACAGCAAAGCAAGTGGGTGGTGCAGGATGCAAAGTGCAGTGTGCGAGGCAGAGATTTCCCCTTCTCGTTTCCTCTCCTCTGACGAGGCGGCAAGATAAGCAGGCAGTGTAGTGAGGAGTCACAAAAACGAGGCAACAAGCTGGGCAAGAGGCAAAAGGCAGCGGTCAAGAACCATGGTACTGGTTTCCTGGTGTTGTTGTTCTCCTGAAGGGTGGCCAAACAGAGGGCACTCACAGTTTTTTTTCTCCTTGGTGTTTCTGGCGTGAAGCGAGATAGAGATAGCTCACCGGGGACAGTGGCTCTCTTTTCTCGGGATGTAGATTTCGGAGGGCTCCTCGTAGGAAGACAGAGGAGAGTGGAAGTCGGGTCGAGAGGATAAGGAGGAGGTTGAGGGTATTCGGAATTGTGATTCGAGGTCGAGGAAGCTATTTCCAAACTCCTCACGACAACTCTGCACGACACAGAGAAAGGAGTGTGAGGGAGACCGAGAAGGGTCTTTCTTAGATGGAAGGGGGGTGGTCGGACGGGGTCCGGGTTTAATAATAACAAATGGTCGCCAACCCAGGCCGCTGATGGTGGTGGTGGTAGCGGTGCTAGGAGGGGGGAGTGGGAGTGGGAGAGAGAGAGAGAACCGAGAGGTGTGGTGCGCGGGCTAGAGCGGTAGGCGGTACGAGACTCTTTCCTTCCCTCTGGTCCTTGGATACCTACCTAGATACCTGGTAGATTTAGGTACAAGGTAGTGTACATGGATGTCCATAGAGCCGGTACGTACTCAGACAGCCCACGGTCGAATCAACCCACCCGCACCCACACCCTCAATCCACCAGATGCAGCGAACAGAGGACCAGCGGCCAGCCTTCCCTGACGGGTGACCCTTGACCAGGACATGCTCGTTCGAATATCGACAGGGGACTCGAGGACCCATCTCAGTCTCCCACTTTTCAAAGGTGGATACAGATACTGGAAACTGGAGACTGATGATCCAGCAACATGCCATTGCAAGTATCTGAACATGGAGGAGATAGAAAACCCACAGACTCCAAGGACACCCTGATCGTCCAAGACTACGGAGTACGACTGCTTTCCTTACCTTAGCATACTATCCCCCCAGCACCCGAGAACGCCCATGTTCAACTTAGCACCGCTCATTTTCTCTCTTAGTCGACCCTGCAGCCCGCACCCTGCCACAAGAGGCGCCGAGGAGGGTTCGCCAGCGGCAGCAGCGAGCAACATGGAGTGAGAGAGCTGGGTCAAGAAGACGACGGTTGGTCGTGGATGGTGGTGGACGATGAGAGAGAAACGCTCGCCAGAGGCAGAGACTGGATGAGAAGGAGACAGGGTGGGAGTGATTGGAAGCTGGGGTCATCCCTGGTTTGTGGCGGCGGGTCATTCACTCAAAGCAGACCAAAGTACCCGGTACAAGCTGGAGCGCCATTTCCATTTCGACTGCAACTGCAACTGCCATTTTTTTTTTTCGATCCCTCCTCCTTCCTCGTCTCACTCAACTCAACCGTTGGCGTGGCAGGTGAGGCAGGAAACAAGAGGAACTCACGATGCCTGCACCTGCCTCCTGTCTATCCTCAGCCTACCTCACCTACCTACCTCACGCAGTAATCACGTCTGCCTCACACCACAGATGATAATTGCAACCTGGCTTAGCTAATACCATTTCCAATTACTCGATACTGACTCTCTTCCTCCATTCTCTCTCGCTCGTTGCAGATTGCATCTTGCAGAGTAGACTTGCAGAGACGTGCAGCCCGGCCTGCAAGTCGATGCCTCCGTGTGTTTCTGGTTGTCTCTAAACTCTGCTCATCACATTCTTTCCCTGCCGCCGCGACTGCCTGCTGCGCTGCACGTCTGTTTGACTTGCACCTTCAGTTTTAAGACGTGCATCGCAAGCGCAGCATGCGGCGACAGGGTGCAGTTGCACCTCAGTTGACATACTGATTTCGTGTGAATTCTGGCCCATGATCTTTTTTTTTTCTTTCTTTTTTTTTTTTTTTTTACCTCTCGCTCTCTTTCTCTTTGTCCTGGGCTCCTCCGGTCTCCGTGCCTTTGGCACCTTGCCGATGCTTCTCCCAATGCAACCAACCCACACCCCCGGAACCTCATCATATCCTCCTCGACCACGACTACGACTCGAACCGGCCATCTCTTCTGTTGCGACTCGGTCACCAATGCCGCCGTCTCCACGCCGCCCGACCCCCCGACGAGCCCCGTTCTCCTCGTCCCCTATTTCTTACATGCCTTGTTCCGTACTGCGTACTATCTGTACGTGATGTTCTCCCATGACTTACGACAACCTAAGATGACATGCACGTGTGTCCCGTATCTAGTATCGCAGATACTGCTCAGCTCCAGACAGACAGTTATGTACATTAGGCGTCCAATCCGTCGAGCTGTCCGGCGCACGGTCGCTCCATCATCTCCCACCTTTGCCAGGCCCTGACAAGCCTGAGTAGTGGCTTCGTAGTAGACACCCTTGTTTTTTCCAGTCACCCTTCCTTCTCTTTTCCCATCATTTAATTCTCCGTGGCAGCACACATCAAAGCAGTCAAAACATCCATCGTCTTGCGCCTCCGACACCATCTTCTCCGTTGCTTGTCTCGCCATCGGTTACCGGGCGACCAACGGGCGGGCGTGCGGCAGCGGCGGTCAGATGACACCCGTCGCCATCAGCCGGAATGGAACACCTGCGAATAGACACGATTGTTCGCTGCAGTCTGTCGGTCACCGGCCAAAGTGAGACTGACGGCTGACGGGCGCGAGGCAAAGAAACTGTCCAATGGTGCTTCGTACTCTATACAAGCACACTCCAGACCTCTCGCCCGTTTGTCGCCGAGATTTCGGAGCTCGTCTGGGGTGTGTAAGGAGGGGTCCGCCGACGAAGTGATCCTGGCTTGCGGCTGGGGCTTGCGCTTGGCCCCAAACGTGTGATAAGCGACGAGCAGCACCTCGTCAATACGGGTAGTGGAGGTAGCACGAAGAAAAGGAAAAGGCATGGTATGTCTCTGCCCCCGAATAATATCAAATCGTCGGCCATGTCCCCACCATGAACGGGCGAGTCTTATTCGAGTCTTCCTCGGTATGTCTGCACCTCTGGAATTCGTCAAAGGAGTTCATCACGATCAACAAGCACCAAGAGTATCGGGACTCTCTAGCAGTCGCATTCCTGGCACACGAGACAATCACATCATCGCGACCCCATCCGGATCCAGCGCATTGGGATGACCGGACGAGTGTGAGCATTGCGCCTCCAACCTCTAGAGCAGGAGCCAATTCGCTTCCCCAACTTGCCGGCCTCGGGTCCGGCTGGTGCGCATTTCCACCTCATTTTGTTCATGCGAACTAGCATCAAGGATCTCCAAAATCGGTCCAACCGCCAATTGCCATGGTATTCTTTTGTTTACACCATGGAAGGTGGTTGTTTTTGTTGACGGGTTCCCCGTCCAACTTGTCAATTTGTGCTGTATGGAGTAGTGGCAATCGGCTGCGCTTCTTATCAGGCTGTTGTCTCCGCGGGGTCGTCTGAAGGCGGTTGCCATCTGCCAGGAGAAGCCAAGCCCAGCAAGACTACGGACCGTTGATAACGCATTCCAGCGAACATGGCCGACTCGTCATGCAAAGGACATTAAGCTATAATGCCGTTGCCCGTTGTAAAATGGACTGATTACGCCATTGTTTTCTGACGGATAAAGTCCACGTTGGCAATGCGATCTGCTGCAACTTGATGCCGTGTCAATATATCTGCCTTTGAGGTGTTGTCGTGATCGTCAATGTTTGACGCGACAAGACGCGGCGCGAGGGTTGCGAAGTTGCGATGCGGCATTACTTTTGGCGAATGCACAAGGTAACGTCGCGGGGCGTTTATACCATACCATTGCTATGGAACAATACTTCGTACTCGGTAGTTTTAGCCTGGAGACGACATGGGCACCAACATTGTCAAGGCATATACTCGGTATGGTAGTTGATATTGCCATGAAGGACGATTCAATAGCTCGAGTTGGCGACTGCAAAAGAAAAGCATAGTAAGATTGCAGCGGCTCAAGAGATCCAATGAAGCGCATGGATGGTCACGGCGACACTGGATCGTGGCGGAGAGGTCAATCTCGTCTTTTCATCGCCTGTTTCGCCTGGCGGTCCACTGGAAGCCCCCCCAGCACGGTCATCCCATGTCGTGCGCTAAGGGATCCCGGGCAATATGGCACCCTGCAAGCCACCCCACTCGAGGACCCTCCATCGTCTTTTTGAGAAGTGTCAAGGGTACTTTGCACTTGCAAGTGTACATACGGATACAAGCACAACAAGGTGGGTGGCGCCTTCCTCTTTCGAGCAATGGGCAAAAGATGCATCTCGCTCTCATGCGCAAACAAATCTCACTGGCTAGGATTGTGGCCATGTCCGTGCACTGCGCTCGTCAGACTTAGCGTCTTGGACTATGAACTTGCCTGTCTTGGTACCGGTACTTTACGGAGTAGGGGCCTCCACCTCTTGAGGAGCAGAACGCAACAGGGAAGCCAGGGAATATCGGGCCAGCACAGAAAGGCGTTCCTTCTTCGCGGTTGCATCTCCTCAACAATGATATAGCGATATTCAACGGCTGCTATCACCACCCGAAAGAAGAAAAGGGTGGTCCCTTAATCAGTCCGAATCCATGACTCTGTCTCTTCGCGACTATGGCCGCCTGTAATACGACATCAGATATATGAGCCTCATCTATCCGAAGGTACGTTGTTGATTCATACTGCGGGAACACTAAGGGCCACCATAGTGAATACCAGCCGTTAGTGAGAACAGGCAGTACAGTAACGTCGAGGCAACTTTAACCTTCTGGTGTCTGTCTTCCCTCAGATCATCCCTCTAAGCGTTTCTCCAGTTTCCAAGGGTTAGATTGAATGTTTGCCACTGCATTTTTAGAAACTGGGCTGAAGAATCGACACCTTACCCAAAACCAGAATTCAAAAACCTGGGGTAATAGGACCAACATTCTAAAGGGCTGAGAAACATGTCCTGGATGAAACGTTTGTCCAGGCCGATCCCCAACTCAGATAGACATGTTTTGCGCCTCAAACGAGACTTTGACCGGACTAAAATAGCACATTGCTTCGACTCTGACTAGGCAACTTGGGTAAAAGCACGTTGATGATAAATCCAAATGAAGAAACTAAAGTGCTGCCAAACAACACCAACCACCACGTTTATTCACTTCAAGTAAATAGGTACTTGGAATGGCGCACGTTTTCTCTCTGAACCAAGTCCTCTTTCTACTCGGCGCGCGAACCCTTCGGACCCGACTCTGGAGCCAAAGAGATCCGCGCTACTATTTCGAGAACGAACGGTCAACCCAACCCTTCTCCAACGACATGACATGTGCCCTGCGCTTAATACCGTTTATCCGCACCGAGGCGTGGTAATTAACCTGCCTTGTCATCTTGATTACCCAACCGTGCAGATATTCTGGGTATAAGCCTGGACACAGCTCCTTGGGACATTATCTACCTTACCTTGCAGACATCGATAGTATCCAGAGTTTTTCTTCTTCTTCTTCTTCTTCTTCTTCAGTGTTTTGTGAGTCTTGACCGGTCCTCCAGGTAGGCATGGAAAGGGACCAAAGTATAAAGGAACTCCCAAAGAGTCAGGAGGCGGGGTCGGCCGTTCGAGCCTACCTAGATACCTCTTCAACTCCAAGTTTATCCATGTCTCTTGCAATATAAACGTCTCTCAGTTAAGGCACCTTACGTTGGGTCCTCCGTACTACGACTCAAGGCAGGTGCCCTTTCCCAAGGTACCTTACTACACGTATTTCGACATGCTTCTGTCGAACCTGCCATCTTTCTCCGAGCGCCACGCCAAATGGAAGTCACGATGATCATCTACAGAAGTGACTGCTGTGTACAGATGCTCTTTCCCCCCATGCCAGTCAACCAGTTAGTTACAGACTCGTCCCACTGGTTTCCGCTCGTCGATCTTGGTGCGGTACCCATACTTTTGTTGCGCGTGCACGCATTCCCATTATCATCCTCCAAATCTCCAGGTGCCCCTCTCCGCTCTATCGTCCAATTAGACCATTGGCACCATCCCTTTGCTTCCTTCCATGTGCCGTCGTCACTTGTACCGAAACATAGCAAAGAAGATCTTTACCTTTCCCTCCTCGGCCGAATTGCACATCACCTTGTTTCCTCCCACCTTTTTTGCTACATGCATGCAACATGTCGGCAACGCACATTTTCTTCCAGCACATATCACATACCAGAGAATCGAATCAAGCAGGATGAAGATGGGGCCCGAATTGCCAAAGAACGCGTTCCGCCGACACGGAGCCAATCCGAGCAAGGTTTGTAGCTGCATCCTGGGCGGAAACGGAGCAGCAATTATGTCATAACTCCACCAGCTCGAGGGGCCGCGATGCCACCTGATTGGGAACGCAGCGAAAGCACCACAGCGCAACTTCGCAACAGACCTCGTCGTCGATGCGAGGGCATGTCATCCTGCCTCTGACCCTCCGCCCGTCATCCCTGCAGACAGCCAACGACCCTCCACCAGCCGATCCCTCCCACGGCCATTCTTCACAACCTCACCCCCACTTCACCCTTCTTTTCTTCCGCCTAGCTGCCAATCTAAAAGGGCAGACGCCGAATTGTGGATGGCATCCCCCAGTGCCAGCGGTCTATTCCTCTTCGGGGACACACCTGGTTCAATCTTCACCACCATCATGCTGTTCCCCTCCGTCCAGTGCGCAGGCGCGGGCAAGACAGAGAGAGTAAACCGGCCAGAGGAGACCACGCCCGCCGTCCCCGTGGGACATTTACATCGTGGCAGACGCGCGTGGAATATCATCGTGCACCGACGTGCAGCACCACATCATCCACTCTACCAACCAACAACCCATGTCGTCTCCGGGCCCTCTCTTTCGCTCCATACGCCGGGCCTCTTTTCCATCGTCCCACGTCCACGGCCCCGATGCTATGCTTCAACTCTGTCATGACGCATGCTCTTTCACGTCGCAGGTCGACGTTTGGTCACTACCTATGCGCGCTCTCTAGACTCTCTCCCATGAGCTGGGATGCTGACGCGCTGTTACATAAACGCACCCGCTCGGCATTCATCATTGTGGATTCAGGAACGGGGACTCCATCGTCAAGCAGCCTCATTTTGCGAATAGCTGCATTTTCCATTGAGATTCACAACAGCCTCGACGGAGGAATCGTACGGCGGCGCTACGGATACCGCCAGAGACCTTCTCGACCGGGAACGTTGCAACAATGTCGGTCAGCCGGCGGAGTGCACGGCCGACCCTCTTGCGCGGGTGCTTGCAGCGGCAGAAGTGTGTGTGCACGCTACATCTGTCGCTCACAGGTATACGATACATGCCAACTTTGGTGTACGCGGGATACACACTACACTACACCCTCAACTTGCTGTTCCTGCACGTACAATGGGTGAATTGACGGCGAAGAGTACCTATTGAACCTCGCCTACCTACAACCGCCAATCGCCAATCTGTCCGCTTCCCCTGCCCTACCACTCGCTCGATGCGATGCCGTGCAGCCCCTCATTTTCACTCCGTAGACTACCACCATATGCGACGAATCTCTCACACTCTGCAACACATTTCTTTGCGCCTTCATGTCGCTGCTGCTCTTCACCGCTTCTCCGCTGTTCATCGGAATGTCCTAGAATGAGGCAAACGAGGAACGGGCAAAGGATGAACAATACGACTGTTTTTCCGTGTCTCGCGTATTGGTTGCAACGCTGAACACCTTTTTTGATCACATCGAACCTTTGCCCCGTCGCATTCTCAGGTGTCTTCGTCTGGCGGGGTCAGCCTCAGTGCCATGTGCCCCGCGCGGGAGTGGTAATGAACCAGAACATTCATCATGTGGGCGTGGCTGGACAGTGCCGCGACGTCCTCCGAGCCACCGACACTGATAGCTAGTCGTTGGAGCTCGTTACCCAACCCTTTTCCTGCCGCCACGAACGGGGCGGTTCATCTGGCGGTCTTAGATATCTGAGACCTGGTACCGAGGTAAGGGCGAGGCCGGAAAGGCGCAATCGCTGTAAAGCGAGTCAGTCCCATATCTCAGACGACTACTGTTATTCTGGCGTCTGCGCTGACCCAGGCACGAGAGAAGCGATCATCAGGCACTTGAGGCTCGTTCTCAGGGATGGCTCTTGTTTGGTGTGGTTCGCTGCACTGAGAAGGGCGGTGGGAGGATGCAGGTGGTGCACTACCAGACTACACTACAGCACCACCTCGAGCCTAAAAGACATGATGGAGGGCAGATGCTGTCTCCTCATTCGACGTTGGTTTGTCCATATCAGTGAAACATGGCCCAGACCGAACCAGGCCGCCTACGAGGTTCGCGACTTTTGACCTGCAGGCGTCAAAATCATTTGACATTCAGACATTTTCCTCCGCATCCTAATCGGGGTGCGTGGTCTTATCCGAGAGTCCAGGCCTGCAGACGGGGAGAAATCGCCTTTGATCGTGGACGAAGCCGTGATACTATGTCGTTGAACCCGAGCCGAGAAGAATGAACCACGACGGCCAACCACCGAATTCGCAGATGCCTTGGAAGTTGGAACAGGTTCCGATGCCAAGGGAGCGTCGCTAATGGACTAGGGATGAGCGGCGCCGCTGCGAGCATGTGAGCCCATCCATGGTGCAACGGAGCCGCCCACCAATGATGGGCCGGACATGCGAGGCTGGAGAGTCTATGAGTCTGGGGACTGGGAAGCGGGAGGACCGCTGACTCGCCAGCCAAGAGAGATCGTCCAGCTGTGCGATTCACGTTTCACACCGTGAGTCGTTTTTCTGATACTCACCGTTGAGCGGTGGACTGCCGAACAGCCGTCGATCTCACCGGACCTGGGCTACCGAAGAGGTTCCTTAAGTGACCGAGTCTTGCGGCTTGGAAACTTGACGTGTCGACTGCAAATGGGATCCCGACGAACCAACCCCCCCGCTACCCAGCTAGGGAAGACTGGCTTGCCTTGGTTGTTGACGGGTTCTTCATACAAGCCGGGAAGAAGTGGCCTGCCTTTCGCCAGGAAACTCTGGACGGATGGCCGGAGGAGCATAGCATCACATAGCTACAGTACACTACGCCTGAGGTGTCGTTCACGCCAGCCACAGCACTAATGCAACTTTGCCATTTACACTACCAAAGCTCATTTGTATAAGCTGCAGCAGGATCCACGGCTTCACCTAAAGTCTGACGTTTGTTCATACGCCAAGATTGGCGACCACGGATCGGGACCCTCACTTCTGTTCTCGTCTTCCAGACGCGAAAGATGGGAATTCCGCTATTACCGTACTACAGACACGGGTATGAGCAATGGCGCTACTCTCGCAGCAAGGTTCGATTCAGATCTAGGGTGCAAAAAACAAGGCTGCTTGAACCCTGAAGATCCTCCAAGAATGCGCCGTCTACTTTACGGTCCTTACCGAGCTCGCCGAGAGCTGGAACTCAACCGCTAATACGTGACAGTAGAGTTGAGGCACATGATTTGAAGATGCAGCCGCTTCTGGGGGGCGAGGAATGCACATTTGTCGTCTCATCAGGGGGGGAAGAGAGGCTACAGGGAGGCGATACGCCGATTGCTCGCTCACCGCTCCGTCGCGAAAATTCTCTTTTTCCTGCAGGCTCGCACACCTTTTTTTGTTTTATGCGAGAAAGACTGCAAAGAGTGGATTCTCCGAGACGCACGACTGGAGGACGACCGGGGTGGTCATCGGGCCTTGTTCCACTAGGAAGGCAGAGGAGGAATGACGCTATTCCCAGTACGTCTTAGAGCAGGAAGCTGGGATTGCTCGAACCAGTTGACTTCTCGACTGTCGACTTCAACCTTGACTTCAACCCTGACTTACATGAGGGTTGTGATGGTCCGTGCTCGTGCTGTTGGCGGCTCATGACGAGCAGTGCCACGGTCAAGTGTACACACAATCACGGGCTGTTCTGTGTCTCTACCTATCTCTGAGCGCAGCTGCGGTCTGGTGCAAGAAAAGGAGGGGCATTGATTCGGACCCCTGGAGCTGCCCCTCGATCTCGTGGGGAATTGGCGATGACCGTTGGCTGCGGCCAACCAAACGCCATTCCCGCCTGCACCACGCAACCCGAGTACGCATCCTCATTCTCCCGCTCTCTCCCTGTCCTTGGACCGCAAATAGACGCCCTCAAGCGTCGCCTACCTTCTTTGGCAGGTTCTCGGTACAGTTTCCATCTGATCTCATGGCGGCCGGCATGGAAGCGAAACTCGGCGGAGCCTCTTGAGTCCCTGTTGAACGGGGTCCATTGTGAAGCCTCAATCCATCCCATACCACCAGCTCCCGTACGTATACAAGGCCTTGCCTCATGCAGACACTCGTCGGCGCATGTACCAAGATACACATCTTTAACCTTTACTCGGCTGAGGTGTGATGGAGGTTTAGAGGCTCCGTTTCTCTTGTCTTTGCACTGCCGGCAGCACACCACAGCGGCTCCATTCGAGATGCCACACTTTCAGCTTTCCTATCCAATAAGTCCGCTGTGTTAACTGAGTATCCAAAAGGGGCTACTGTCGAATGCTATCTATCGGAAGGCTGCTCATCCCCCCCCCCCCCCCCCCCCCCCCCCCCCCCCCCCCCCACCCCCCCCCCACCCCTACCCAACCCCAACACAAAACAACCAACACAACAAAAACAAACAAAAAACAAAAACACCCCCCCCCCCCCCCCCCTCTCTCTCTTCTCTCCCCCCCCCCCCCCCACACTAAGGTATAGGTATGCTCATCTCGGGAGTCTGCACCACATAGTAATTACACTACACTAACACAATGAGTACACTAATACCTGGTAGGCTCCTGTCAGTCCCCGGACCTTGTCTCTTGCGCTATCCTCTGCTACGGCCTCCGCTCTCGCACGTCAACAACCAGGTAGTCGAGGACCCAATTTGCAGCCGTGGGGTTTTTTTCGTTTCTTTTTTGCGGGCATCGTACGAATTGCCTTCGAACCATCTTGAGCTGATGATCTGACGCTTCTACAACCACCAGCCATGGTAGGCGTCATATTGTGATGGAGGATCGCGGGGAAACCTCATCCATCGCTCCATGCTTGATACATTCCCTACGCTTACCCGCAGACACGCGCCAGTCAACTTCGGGACATGCCTGGTATTCAGACTTGGGGCAGCTGCTCGAGGACCCCTCACTATGTCTTTACAATTTCCCGCACTGCAAATGCCATCCGTACTTTTTGTACGACTTTAGTGTTGCCTCGAACTGTGGTGCAACCCACCTTAGATTTTCTCATTCTCTTTGAATAATGGAATAGTTGCAGACGACCTGCCCCTGTGCCTCTCGTTCTTTGAACGGGCAGAGAGCACACGCTCACTGCATGCAGACGCCCGGAATCAGGCACTCGGTGGCCTTCATGCCGGCGTCCGGAGCCGCCATCTCAGCCGGTGGGGAATGCGATCGAGTCCTGCTGCATGTTCCCCCTATTTACAACGGCCAGCCATTGCCCGAGTTCGGTCTGCCGCCAGCGTAGGTCCCGCTACGCTGTGCGATGCGATATAGCGATACCAATAATCAGAGTAAAATGGGGCATGAGTCGTTCCACTCAGTTCGGTGGAGACTAGGACCCCCCATCAGCCAACATCACGCATGATCTCAACCCTGACCATTGTTGGACGACCGACTCGAGAGACGTTGACGGCATCGTTTGAAAGGCGGGGTGGAACGAAGGATAATTCCTGAGCGTGAGGTGGCCGCCAGACCGAACCACCAAAGCCCGCAACATCTACTCTTCTCCAATCCTCCGTCCGGCAGCGGAGGCAAATGTCGAATTCCATTCGTTGCAACCAATCCCGCACGGTGAGAAGGCCGCTTACCATCACACCGCTCAGCAAGCGCCCGGCAGTGTGTCCTATACCTCACCACTTTGTAACCTCTCTCTACTGGTTCTTGGGAATGGCCTCACCCGAGGTCTGTACCCCGCCTGCTGCAACTCCCCCTCTCTCCAAAGACGAGGCGATCGACAGGTCCTTCTCTGCGACAGGACGAACGCTCATCAGCTCGTCGGAGGGGCAGAGGGAGGACCTTGTATTTCTTCAGTTGCCCCTCACTACGCCATTTGGAAAATGTCTGTTGATCAGCCGTTGAAGGTTCGACGTGGCTTCTGGCAGGCAGGGATAGCCTCGTTTCGCCCCCGTAAACTCTGAGGCTGACTGACCGCCATAGATCGCCCGCCACCCGATGTATACACTATTCCACCTTGCCAAGTGGGACTTTGTAGCCGCCAGCTAAGCCAGCACCAGCCTTGCCAGCCAACTTTTTTTCTGGAAGTTTTGTTTTTCCTTCGTCGGACTTCTATACAACGGCCGGCCACTTACATGGACAGCACTTACACAGGCTTCACCCCAGCCGCCACCGGCAAACAACCACGCTGTCGGTGGTTCGTGATGCGATTCCCTAGGCGTTTCCTCGATCTGGACCTACTGTGGCATCCTGCTTTTCGACATGCGCTAGCCACTGGCTCAGTCCACAGTCCACGTATCTTACCCCAAGAATCTCTTGACTGTTTCCAGCTTCCGAATTCCCACAAATACCATTCACCTTCTGGACCCGGAACGATGAACATCAGGGAAAATGCCCGCCGCGGCGGTTGGGTCGGAGTCGACTTCCCGAGGTTGGGGGTGTCGAGAGACCGTGTGTACACACTACTTTCTCATTTTCCGATGCACGCCATATAGGACAAGGACAAGGCGAGACACACTCAGCTTCCAAACATAGAATTAGGTCGTCCTAGTATGACCGATCATCAGGGACACCAGAGAGGGCCGATCAGGGGCTCTAGGCCGATCTGTGCCCGTGGCCCTTCTGCCCCTCCCGTTCTGTACGCGGTGAATATCAGAAAGCACTTTTTTTTTTCTTCAAGTAAAGCGGCGCTCTGAGGCACATGGAGGGGTAACGGTAAGGCTGTAAGGGGCGGTCTGGTGAAGATGTTGACTTGGCTCCCTCGGGATGCACGTACGCCTTGCTGGAACCAAGGCAGTTGTGTTTCTTGCCATGTCAGGCCCACGACTTTTGTTGGATCGAGATGCGTTTTGCGGGTTCCGAGAAGGGAGCTCTATAGGGCTGCTTACATTCTGTCGGTCTGGGCCCGGTTGAAGCATGCAGCATGACTATGTAAGATCGACGATGTTATCGACGGTTTCTTACTCCTGCATCGCGAAGAGAATGCTGTGGATGGGTACGTTCGGCGGGGTTCGCCAGCAATATGCGGCAACAGCGCGTCTTTGCTTTCCGTGTGATTTGAAGAGATTTTGGGACTTGAGGTTGGTGACATTTACGTTGCGAAGTGGCTTTGGAGGGGGATACTGGCACCGGGCAGCCTCGACGTCTACCGGCTCGGAGCAGGCTGGTTCTCCTCTTCGGTTCTCGCTAGGTCTTGGTGAGTGGTACATCGCGTCTGCGCTCAGAGCATGGCACAGTGAGGTTTGTGTTGTGTGTAGATCGTCCCGCTCTGGAGTCGTGGGTGAAAGGGACTCTGGATGTCAAAAGTAAGTTACCGCGCGACACTAGCCCAGTGTCTATTGTGAATGTTTGAGACATCAGTTCTCTCTAGTTTTCTCTCAGCTATCTTGTTCATGGAGACGTCTCTGTCCAATATTTTGAGCATTAAATCTGCTAGAATCTCGTCTACATTGGGATCCAATCATGATACAGTATTGTACAACCTCGTTCAGTGATAGGAGAACAGCTAATCTCCCTCTCAGGGCAAGTGCGAATTCTCCCATCATCCACGAACCCATCAATCACACATACATACCTAAATCTCACGCCCCAATCTTGACAAGACGATCAATAGCCCGTCCATCATCTAGCGCCCAGCCTGTAGAGACGTCCAGCTTGAGCTTCTCCCCGCCCGCCTCCATCCTCAGGAACCCTTCCTTGGTGATGGCCCTCCGGACGCCGTACCACGCCGCCTTGAATCCTTTACTCGCATGCCGGAACGGCGTCGTCATGAGATGTCCCTTGTCGTACTCCCAGTCGGCTCTCGCCTGCACCTGCCTTTGCCGCGCGGCGGACCTCTCCATGGCGGGCGTGGGCGTTACGAAAGGCGAGTAGATCCGGGTCGGGATGGTGACCTGGTCCGGCGCGAGGAGGAACTTTTTGGGGGTTCCGGGCAGGATGCGCTCGCATGTGATTTCGAGCACGACGGGTGTTGCTTTTGCGCTGCTCACGCCTAGGGGCAGCACACCGGCGGCGGACTTTTCGCCCGCAGACTTCAAGAGGGAAGCCGTCGGCACGGCGCGGATGACCTTGACGATGTTGCGGGCGTTGAAGAGGAAGTAGGAGCCGAAGCCAGCGGTGGCGACGCAGATGAGGGCGAAGGCGTGCGGGACCCAGGCGGCGAGGTCGGGAGGGGGGTCGAGGAGGGTGAAGTAGTAGTTTACGCCGGCGTAGCTGTAGAACATTGTGGCGGCGGACCAGGCCGAGACTTTCATCCAGAGGTGGGAGGCGGCTTCGTAGAGGACTGTTGGTTGGGGGCGCTGGGCGAGGGTTGTCGCGAGGGCGTAGGCTGAGCCTGCGGTGGCGCCGGCGCCGGCGCCTGGGGATGCTGCCGCGGGGTTCGTTGTCGTCTTTGGTGATGTTGATGGGAGGGGGGATTTCGAAGGAGGATGAGGTTTGGAGACTGCGCTGCGGGTGAGGTTGTTTGGGATCGTTGTCGTGCGCGAGGGTTTTGCGGCGTATCGGAGGGGGAGAAGGGAGCTGAAGAGCCGGCGGGGGAGAAGGGGTTGTGTCGTTGCCGTTGTCGTCGCGCAGAGGGGCCCGGGTCGGGAGGCGAGGAGGAGGCAGAGGCTCATGCCTCTCGAGGAGGCTGCCATGGTTGCGGATTACTGGTGGTGGTGGTGGTGGTGACAGAAGACCTATGAAATGAAGCCAATTATACGGAAAAAAAAAAAAAGAGAGAGAGGTTTGGGGGTTTGCGCCGCAGTGGCCGTGGCTCAATTGGTCCCGGCAGGAATGCGTCAAGCTGTCGCGGGATATCGTACGTGGTGGAAATTGAAGCTATCCAGAAAAGTTTCTGTGGAGCATCAGACGTCTTGACGACCGGGGTGGAAGGTGTCTCCACTATCGATATGCGACGTCCAATCTGCAGCAGGGGACTTTTTTTTTTTTGGGTGTCCTTGCCTGCCCGTGCTGTAAGGTAAGGTGAGGTGCGGTCGGAGAGCGGCGCAACGATAAGGCGCCACAGATGTTTAAAACCGCTCAGAAAGCGAGTACGTACTTTTTGGTTGTCATCCGATCTAACGGGCGAGGAAGGGGCCAATGAGACCAACAAATTGGCGGCATTTTCTTGGTCCGTGCTTGCACAGCGTCTCTCCCCCCCCTGTCCGCCGCCAAAATTCGGCGATAAGCCACACCAGGCCCAGCCCGGTCCCACCCCAACAGGTCCATGATTGCTGGCGCTAGAAGGAAGCTCACCCAACGGAGCTCGACAATTTTATCCTTGCGCGAGAGAGAGACGCAGAGAGAGCACAAGGCGCCGCCCCGGGTTCGCTTTTTCGACCACCGACACCGACCACGCCCGAACGGACAAGCCTTCGTTCAACCCACTTTGGCGATTTCCTCTTCTTTTTTTCCCCTTGTCCACCGTCCTCCGACTCCAACGACCAAAACGCCTGCGTCCCCTCGTATTGTGTGGTCCGACAACGGAAAATCAATTGGGGAAGTTTTTTTCTTGAAAGTTATCCCTCAATTGAATCCATCCGAACCCGCTCCGCTCCCTACGCATCCCCGAATAAATCTCCGGCTCCGACCAACGGTTCCCGTGAATTGTAAAGATGGCTTCCCTTGCGACGGCGGCTCGTCTTTCTGCGAGGGTTGCTGGCCGGAGAATACCCGCAGAGTCCACAGCTCGAGGTCCGTAAATCAACTTGTCCCCTCTCAGAGATGCTGTAGCTGTCAGCAGATACACCCTTTTGCTGTCCCTCTGCAACGACGTGAAACCGCGAGACAAAACCGGAGCTGACCACTCTTCGACCTCCCCATAAACAGGCTTCCGGACTTCAGCACGATGCCTCGCGGCCCAGAACTTCTCCATGCCCGCCCTCTCCCCGACCATGACGGAGGGCAGCATCGCCAGTTGGAAGGTCAAGGAGGGTGAATCCTTCTCCGCCGGCGACGTGCTCCTCGAGATCGAGACGGACAAGGCTACCATGGACGTCGAGGCCCAGGACGACGGCGTCATGTTCAAGATCACCACCGGCGACGGCGCCAAGGCCGTCCAGGTCGGCACCCGTATCGCCGTCATCGCCGAGCCCGGTGACGACCTCTCCTCTCTCGAGGTTCCCGCCGAAGACAACACCTCCTCCTCTTCGAAGCCCGCTCCGGCCGCCGAGAAGTCGGCACCCAAGAGCGACGGCCCCGCGGCGGCATCGGCTCCCGCGCAGCAAAAGGGTGGCGCGGCCAAGACCTCCGGTTCCAAGGCCCGCGAGCAGCGATACCCCCTCCTCCCCTCCGTCCAGGCCCTCGTCAACGGCCACGGCCTCGGCAAGGACGCCGTCAACCAGATCGAGCCCACGGGCCCCAACGGCCGCCTCCTCAAGGGCGACGTCCTCGCCTACCTGGGCACCATCAACGCCGAAACCCCCTCCAAGATTATGAACCGCGCCGTCAAGATGTCCCACCTCGACCTAAGCAACATCAAGGTCGCGCCCAAGAAGGAGGCCCCGGCACCCAAGAAGGCCGAGGCCGCCGCCGCCGCGCCCGCCGCCCCCGTCGACTCCGAGGTCGCCCTCCCCGTCTCCCTCGCAAAGGTCCTCGAGGCCCAGAAGCGCATCCAGTCCACCCTCGGCGTCTTCATGCCCGTCTCCACCTTTGTCGCCCGCGCCGCCGAGGTCGCCAACGACGACCTGCCCCCCTCGGCCCGCAAGGCCACCGCCGACGAGCTCTTCAACCAGGTCCTCGGCCTCGATAAGCTGGCGCCCCGCGGCTCCCGCGGATACTACCTGCCTCAGATCTCCGCTCTGCCCGAGTCTTCGCTCCTAGCGCCCCGCGCGTCCAAGAGATCGTCCTCGGCTGATATCATCGACTTGCTCGCCGCGCCCGCCAAGAAGGCCGTCCCCGCTAAGAAGCCGGTCGCTGCTCACCACACCCCTGGCATGTCGTCCGGAAGCAACCTGTTCACCGTGACGGTGCCGCAGGGCGATGAGAAACGCGCCAAGGTGTTTTTGGAGAGGGTCAAGGTGATTTTGGAGGAGGAGCCTGGCAGACTTGTTCTGTGAGTTGCTTGTATGGTAAAGAGAGAGAAATAGACGGCGAGCCCCCCTAAAGAACGCGGGGGCGAGTGGTTGGTGGGGGAGATGGGAACGAAATAATTCATCATCGCCAAAACGTGGGAGACTGATAGAGATCTTTTTCTTACACCCGACGCGGTGGGAAGAGAATGTACTTGTAGCGTGTTGTGGAAGTGGGGATACAGTTGAAAACGTCATATACAAATATACACCGTCCCAAATTCAGTTTTTCAGATGATCTTTCTAACCTTGCTGGTCGTCAAGAGCAGTGTCCGTACCATATTGGCCGAGCTGTCTCGTCCTGCAGCTGTCGAAATGAATTGCGACCTTATTGGCACAGGCTCTCGTATATATCTTGCCCAAGGGTGTTTTATGTGGGGTTTCACTCAATGGACCTGGGAACCACATCGCGGCGCTATCAGTCTCCAACGTCTCCCCCTTTTCTACATCATCAAGTACGCGTCAGACAGTCGCGGTCCCGGTGCCTCTTCAACACAGAGTAGAGAACATTTTATCGAGAGCTGCGCTGACGAAGACTGAATTTGTGTGGACTACGTTGGGATTCTATCTCCACTGGTGACTCTGCCCGCTTGACATATACATCGGATGGGTTATCATGGGCCAAAAATGGTCCTTTTTAGCGGGCCAAGTAGATGTCAATAGCTATGAACATCGCCGGGCATACTCCATTTCCTCCAAGATGGCAGGCGATCCTTTCGTTTCGACATTAATAAAGCGGATGCCGCCCATGAAGTTGGTGGTGTTCCTGCTGAAACTCGTTGGAAGATTTACCCTATCTCCTTGTGGTGTGTCTCGGTGTCCATCTGGATAGAATTCCAATGCGAATACGGACCAGGGGGTGAGCCACGGGTTTGTCTACTTGATCTTCGGCGAGTGATCTGAAAGTCACCCGCGATCCCAGCCTCTTGTCCCCTCGGTTGGCCCAATCCATGAGGGAAAATGAGCTTAGGTGTTACCAAATGGCATCAGCCTCACTCCTCATCCTGTTACTCTACTCATGACATCTCGCACCAAGGGCACGCATGGAGATCGACCGCTGTAGACTGAGGACTTTCTACGTTTGGTCGGTATATATAGCCTTGCCTCTCTTAACTCAAGGCGCAGCTCAAGGTGCAGCTTTTAAGTGGCGAAATCTCTATCAGCTATCCGAGGGTACATGGATTGCATCGGGGCCCTGTGGCAGGAGCCGTACAATGTTGAGCATTCCGGGCATTTTGTTAAAGACTGTGCTCCGGCGCCCCGTCGGCTGCCTCGAGGTCATCGTCACCGCTGAAGCTTTAGGTGTCTTTGAAAATGGTAGAATGCTGAAGCCCGCGCCTGCGCCCGCACCGTCTGCCGCTACGATCAGTCACTTTTGAAAGTGCTCTGTTTCTTCGAGGGCCTTGGGGTTGATGTTGGTAGCTAGTGGGTCTGTGGAGGTTGTCCGTCATCTTCACTCCCTTTCGAAAACTATGCCATGATGGAAACTCTAGCAAGCCTAAGGTGTAGAAAACTGTGGACCCTACGCCTAGAAAAGACAACGTATTGTGAGTTATCACAATTCTGGTCTATACATGACACTGATCCAGACGGCAATTCTTCCTTCAAGGTGTCTCTTGGAACGAGATACAGGATCGCTGGAACGTATTGTAATTCGCAATAGCTGCTTAAGCATGAAGAGACTAACACAGAGACGCACCTTTCCCAAGATTCAGCTCCATGCCCTTCGTTGAAGCTGGCGATCACTCACTGTGGATTAGCAATGATCTTTCTCAGGATGTAAATGACGACAATGAGTGGCAGCTAGTGTAGATACCATACTCTCGGCAGAAGCTGGGACATGACATGATAACTACTTTATGACACACTCATCAATAATTCATAGAACCTGAGCGCTGGCTATCTATCTCAACCAGCGAACTGAAACATAAAACAGCGTACCGAAAGGTTGACCCTGCAAGCAGTGCTACCAAGATCGAAACCCCATTTGACTTGCTCTCATAGCTCATCAGACATGAATCATGAAGAATCATTTCCCCTTGGCCTCATAAACAAGTGCCTTGACCATGAGTATCGGATAGCCTACAGCTTTCTTCCTACATAAGACGACGATGAGTGTTAACTAGAACAAGGGTCGGCTCTCAATCCGCAATTCAATTGAGCAAAACGCGTTCATTACCACTTTCATTACACAGCATTTTCTCACCCGTAACAGTATTTCATTCTGCTTCCCAGCAAGTTCCCGGCTTCAGAACACCCGCCCCCCCCCCTGTAACTCAGTCACTTGTTCCTGCAGATTGCGACTCTCGTATTTCCTGTGCTTCCGCAGGGGGTCTGTCAAGTTTTGAGAGACAGGACTCGTCAACGAAGCAAGATCAAATTTCTGACGGGGCTCATGCCCCCTAATTACGTTAAATTCCTTTACCAAAGATAAAGAATGACCAAGAGTTGACTTGTGATAGAGACTCACCGGGCTTGTATTGCCTTCCTGGACCCGGCCAGGGAAGCTTGCTTCATGCCTAGATCTCTGCAATCGCTTGATTCTCGCTCACGCGTGGATAACGGTACTTCAAGAGTGGCAAAGG